CGTAAGAAAATTTCACCTTTCTATATGTATATATATATATGTATGTATGTATGTATATATATATACTTTTCTTTAATTTAAACTTTAATCGTAATAAACTATATACATTTCTAAAATTTGGCGGCACACGACAGTGCCACTGCACAGTGATTGAGAATCACTGGAACAGAAGGACTAGCTCACTACTTTGAAGGGACTCGTGTGGCTCCGAGCTTCTGATTTCAGTCAGTGACGTCTCGGCGACGCAGCATCAATTTCTGACTTTAAAAATAAATTGTTAATAAAATTAAACTAGCATTCTTTTTTGAAACTTATTTCCATGTAATCATTGTTTTCTATATTTTTTTTATTTTGAGTTTATTTTCTTCTCCGCAAAAATTTAACAGTAATAGTCAAATATTTATTTAAAGACCGGCGAGAATTATAATAAAACACAAAGTGAGAAAACTTAATTTTGTAATGTTTTACTTCAGGAAATATAAAGGTAACATCAAATTAATTATAAAATGTACTAGAATAATTTTTCCTGCTGTGAATAAAGAAGCATTATGCTTTAAGTTTCTGCAGGTTGTTTATGCTTTATGTTTCTACAGAGGATCAAAATTGTGATGGCATATATTTGGATCATTCTCACGGATCTTTAATAGAACTTTTTTAATTACCCCTTGTGCAGATTTAATGCGACGTAAATAAACTTTTACAATTTCTCTTCATTCACATCTGGCAAGTCTTGAGAATGGGCGCCTACTTTTGAGAGCTTTAAACATGTCGGCTTTTTTTTCCCATCTTCATACTTTTTTGAGGCCAATGAAGAATTTTAAGCAACTATATCTTACCGCTTTAATTACTTTGGATTTTTTCATTTATTTAATATGTTATATGTTGTTGTATAGATCTTGATTTACCTCACTGTGCTATATATCAACATGGTTAATCAAAGGTTAGTAGGATAAAAACTGTCCCCTTATTTCTTACCAATATTATAAACAATTAAAATTTAAATCGGCTTTGCTTCTTTAAAATACGTGGTTTTTCATTAATCATTTTAATTTGAGAAATACAAGCATAAAACAGATTGCTTCATTTTGGACGTGCATGAGATTACCAGAATTCGAACGGCTTTTCCTGACTAAAGTTTAGTTTTGCTTATTGCCTCGTTATGGGTTAACATGCTTTTCCTTTTTTTCAACTCTCTCGCCGAGGAAAATTAAAAAGCCATATTTTAAGTTCCTTACACTTGAGACAAAACTATATTTTTAAACTATATATACCATTTTGCCTTGAAGAATCATCATGACTTTAGAAAAGACAAGTAACTTAAATAGTTTAAAAGTTACTAAACTTTTTTTAAAAAATCACCATTAAGGGGCGTTTCTCAACTCAGATGAAAATAATCAAAATCAATGCTTTATTCACAGTTTTCGCAAATTTTTATGAGCACAAATAATGTATTAGAGTCAGTTTTTAAATATTTAAAAATTAGAGTTTGAAGTTTCTACACAGTGGAATTGGGTATTTGCACTCCAAGAAGAAGAACACAACCTTACCCACTCACGTGATCTATGACGTCAGCGCCAGCTGATATTTACCAGCAAAATGGTGTATTAAAGTTGAGCTAAGTTTCTCTGGATAACGTGGAATCTTAATTAACGTAAAGTTAATTAAACATCGTGCCGTATCGCACATCGAATTAGTTGAAATATAATTCTTCCTCGTCTACTTCTTTTACATAACTTAGATTTATTATTTGTTTGTGTATTTTATTGTAACTGTGATATATTTTTGTTTTGTATACCTGGCAACTTCGATGCATAAGTTTGTTTATGTTTCATATGGTTTCTTGTCAAACTTTAAGTTAAGTCTATGCAAATATATAGTGAAAGAATTAAAAAAAAATTTAAATAAAGAATATAGGCTTCTTAAGAGAATTGGTACTTGACGGGCTTGGCTTATTCAAACAAGAATGGAAAGAACAGTTGCTAACGTAAGAAAATTTCACCTTTCAACAACCAATCAAGATCGAATTACCCACACTACGTTACTTGCAGGTATTTCATTGGTTGAAGAATTGCGTCATAAAAGAATATAGACCCTGATATACTGGTAGTAATTTTCCGGCTAGAATTTGCAAAATGCTCTAAATAACAAAATAGGGCGTGGAGTCCCTCCGCGCAGAAGAAGTGAAACTTCGTAATGTGGGAATGAAAATAGGAAGGGGTAGAAATAGATTTTTAGTGAAATCATATTGTTTCATTAAGACAAACTTTATTAACAATGCTTACAATTCACAATTGATCGCATCTTTTAATTATCATTTTCGAGTGGAGAAATATCCAAATCTATAACATTTACAATGGGATTATGATAACTAAAGTAAGATATGAAATGTTTGAGTTCTATTTTTTCAATATTTCTTGCAAAAACTGCAACAATGGTAGTTCCCCCTTTGGGTGTTGGATCATTCTTACCACTTATCATTTCCAATCCAAATTTGTCTTTAAGGAAGGTTAATAATGTTTCAGGTAAAGAGAAATTCAGATTAAAATCTCCTGCAAGGATCACAGGCCGCTCACAGTAATCAATTTCTTCACCAGTAACGTCTGCCGGAGCTTGTGAACCTGCAGTGGATAGTGGCAATAAAGATTTTGAAATAAATAATTTAATNTAATTTGCATAAATTTGCTTGTAAGTTGTTTGGTATTACTTACTTGTGAGCGTAAACATTCTCCAAAATGAAGTACACAAAGAATGTTTACTAACATAGAACACTGCTCACTATTCTAACAAACATGTCCATTACACGTCCTGAAATGTAGCGTTAAACGTTTAACGCAACCTTGTTGGAAGTCGCATAAGAAGTATAACTTCAACAAATAAAGATATAAAATAATTAATTTGAACAAATATTTTGTACTGCTCTGTAACGTTTATGAATAAAAAATTCCAATTATTTTTTAGAGCCGACCTGTTACGAGTGGAGCATCACTTACTGAATTTGAGTTGAAGCATGAATTTGATTGTATTCTGAGAAGTGAAAGAGATTACTTCACTGTAGCAAATGTGGGGTAAGAGAATGCTACAGCATATTATTCGTATTTAAAAGTGTAGCAAAAGTATGATGACGCTCTAGATCAGTGGTTCCACATTTTTTCGGCTTTTCCTAAATAATCAACCTTCTCTCGGCGGAGTTAAAGGTAATTGAGAATGTTATAACTTATAAAAGATTATATTTAAAGTTGCTTCTAGATTATATAAATAACCTGAAAATGATTAAAATAAGGTGAATTATGATTTAATTTGAAATGAAAACTTAAACTATAAACGTGGAAAGTAGTTTTTATGGAAACTTATTTCTTCATTAAAGAATTTAGTTATTTAGATCTGAAAGGCGCGATAAATTCTTATGGAATATTTCATAATGGCTTTTTTTTCTAATTTGTTCAATATATTGTTATTAGTACTACATTTTTTTATTAAAAGTTCCATTTCCATTTCATTGGCGTTTTACTTGATATATTTCATAAAGGCAACAGTAAGATTAAATAAATTACGAATTTTAGGTTAGATCCAAATATAATCAGCGGCTTCAATACTCCTCACTTGTTATAAGTACGAACTTGCAGAACCCCTCAAACTCTTCCTCGGAACCCGAAGGTTCCGCTGAGTATCATTTGGGAACCGCTGTTCTAGATCAATCAGCGTTATTCAATTTTTTTTAACAATCTTGCTTAGCGGTTATAAAAATATGACCTCTGTTTAATATACAAAAAATTTAAGTATCCATTAAATGGCATAGAAATGACAAATTTTCTAAGACCCATTGACACATTTTCTATGCGTATTAATCCTATGTAACTTATTTCTTAATGTTATTTTCTTTTACAAATAAAACCTAGCTGCCAGCCCGCAAGGTTCAGCTTCCCAAATATTAAAAACTGTAGCCAAATAACAATTTAAAATTTGCTTAATTTTGCCCGCCCTTAAAAATTGCTTTGTTCAATTAATAGGCTTTATATATAAGTTGCACATGTGTGTATGTAGTAGATTGAATTATTTAATTCAATAATGTTAAGTTACAAAATTTGCTATCTCTCTAAATATTCAAATAAAAGTAAAAATCGAAACAAAAAATTGTGAACGAAAGTAATAACAAACCACAAGGAGAGAAAAACAATTCATGATTTTGATCATAATGTCGATCGTTTTGATTTTTAATTATTGAGCCGAAGTGACTAAGGGGATAGGGCGTACGTCTTCCAATGAGGTGAACCGGGATCGAATCCCAGCGATGGCTGTTTGATGTGAATTCCGCACCCGGTGCGCACTGACCACAGTGCTGACGTAAAATATCTTCAGTGGTAGACGGAATTGGCTAGAGTCCCATTGCCGTCAGGCTAACTGTGGGAGATTTTTGCAATTTTTTTTACCATGTAACGCAAATGTGGGTTAGTTCCATCAAAAAGTCCTCCACTAAGGCGAATTTCCCCCAATACTTAATCCTGGAGTTCCCTTGTCTCCTGAGTTGGGCTCAAAATTACAAGGCTGCGGAGTTGAGCATCAGTAGTCTTGAACTCAAAATTTTGTCAGCTGTTCAATGAAGGTTATAAAATAAAATAAAAACGTATTTTCCTTTCTATCGGCATAGCAAATTTTTTCCCGATAATGTATTAGCTACTGCAAATTTAGTGAAGGTGAATTCCCTGGTGTTCAAGATTAAATGAATTTTTATATTTGGTATAATATTTCGATAGATTTTAATTAAATTTTGTTTGAACATAGGTTGAAAATATATATATGTATAATACTGTTATGTCGCACCATAAACTTGAGTATTTCTGTATCAATCGACAACACTTTAATTTTCATTCAAAATTTGTCGGGTTATCTTAAGTAATATAAGTAGTGTTAAAAAATTAGTAATATATAATTCCCAATCTAATGCTAGAGCATATAAGTAAATAGCGCTTTTTTTTATCAGTGCATGCCAAAATGGTGACCGTCTCGCCTAATCGATTTAAACTCTATGCTATGGCAAAAAAACTTAACTACTAATACAAAAATAATAACCATTCAACAGTTATAATACGTACACATAATCGTGCGTAACACTGATCAGAGTTTTATGGCATCGAAGAGTTACTACAGATTTGTATAAAAGAATGGTATAATTAGAAGATATGGCCTCCTTGTACAAGCCTCACACCATGATGTAATAAGGCAGTTTTTGAGTTCACGTGGCACTTTTTATCACTCATTAAGTAGCTTTGGTTTTAGACACAAGATAGTTCTCGGTGTTGAAATAACCCCCTCCCCAAAGCTTCACAGACTTCAGTTGGGTTCAGGCCTGGAGTAATGACTAGTCTATCCTTCCTGCAAATATGCTCATTTTCCAGAAAACGGTCAGTCAGAAGTGTGATGTGGGGTATGGCAATATCCATTAAAATGTAACCAGGATCCATTGCATCCATGAAAAGGCGAACATAGGGCTCCAAGACCTCATCCCTATTCCCCACATCAGTAACACAGTACCTCTTTCAAAGACATGGAGGGGTGAGCGGGAATCAAGCATTATGCTTTCCCAGATCAACAAATGTCGGCTGTTATGATGATCAATTTCTCGAACATTAAAGAGCACGAAGCGGGTCCCTGGGACTCTATATACGAAGGTAAGTCGAGAGTCAGTGGCCATTGATCCATGCTACAATCTCTATGATCTGTGAACCATCTTAAGTAGATTCTTCTGTTAGTAGAAGTCAGCAGGGATCAAACAGCCCTCTTTTATGAAACCTTCTGGTAAACGCATTCCTTGAAACTCGGCCTCTGTTGGCCTCATCGACATCATGAGAGAGCGAAGAAGCTTTAGCATTCCTGTTACATCTCGCTGTAATCGACTAATACCAATTATCGTTGGCCGTTGTAGCTTTTGGCTGACCTTGATTAGGCTCTCTCTCGACAGATCCGGAATGCTGAAATTGTTTTCATAAATTTCCTCGACAGTGGGCGTTTATTTGGATCTATAAATCAGGATTTGAGATTGGCATGCTTCTTGTTTTATCACAATTAGCCACCTCATTCCATCATCTTATCTTTAAAAGTCCCTCAATTTTGTCAAATATTAAGTTTAAAAAATATGTACTGATTACTGCAAAAAAAATTTTAAAAAAATTCGAAATTCGGGAAGATGTTCGAGCGAACCAAATGCAGATTTCAAACATGTGCTGATAAGGTCTATTCCTCTACTAGTTCCGCACTCACGTACTTATATTCTTACATATTCAGCAAACAAGATTTACATCTTTATTTCGAATCCAAAATTTTACACATTTCTCTCAAATCACTGCAAAAAAACATCAAGAAATTCGGTAAGATGAGCGAAACAAATACAGATTATGCCATGCACTTATAAAGTCTATTCTCTACTATCTCCGCCCACACACATTTATAAGCTTACGTATTCAGCACACTAGATCCACATCTTTGTTTCGAAGCCAAAATTTTACACATTTCTCTCAAATCACTGCAAAAAAACATCAAGAAATTCGGCAAGATGAGCGAAACAAATACGGATTATGCCATGCACTTATAAAGTCTATTCCTCTACTATCTCCGCCCACACACATTTATAAGCTTACGTATTCAGCACACTAGAACCACATCTTTGTTTCGAAGCCAAAATTTTACACATTTCTCTCAAATCACTGCAAAAAACATCAAGAAATTCGGCAAGATGAGCGAAACAAATACAGATTATGCCATGCACTTATAAAGTCTATTCCTCTACTATCTCCGCCCACACACATTTATAAGCTTACGTATTTAGCACACTAGATCCACATCTTTGTTTCGAAGCAATAGTTTTACATTTTGCTGAGTTATTAAAAAAAAATCAACGAAATATGCATATTCGCTTTATTTTGAACACAAGTGTACTTCAACACTATACCTGAATAGTGGTTGTTTGTCTTGTCTTGAAATTTGAGCTGGGCATCTGGGCCGCATTCCATCCATCATTTTTCTTTTATATTTGTGGTAGAACTTTAAGGTTAGCAGTCTATGTGGTGGCTGTTATTGGGATTCATGCACCTTGCTTTAGTAAATAATAATAATGGAAATTATAAGAAGCAGGCTTGCTTTAAACTATGTGTGGCTTTGAATGTAGATTGATGGTCAACGTGGGGAAGCGCTTGATCAAGTTGTCAGTATTGTTGTTGAGTTTGATACTATGAGTGTATCTGTAATTAGTTATTTATTTTGATGATTGTGATATTAGGCGTCGGATGTAAAGTGAGCATCTATTGGTATTAATTTTATGTCCCTTTTGTAATTTTCAAAATTGGACATCTGGTTGAAGTTCACTGCACTGCATTTTGGGGCCATGTCATAGAAATCTGCATTTAATTTGAAAAATATATTGTGATAAGGCCGGGATCTTGAGGTCTTTGTGGATATTTGTAGAATAGTGGTTGCTAAAACAGGGCAAACCTTGTGACATTTCACATTTCTAGTGGTTTGCAATATTTTTATAATAAGTGTTACCAGAATGAACACATTATACCGAAAAAGGGTTAAACTGTTAAGCTGCCTAATTTGAAGTTACGAAAAATTGTTCTTCTTTATAAGTATTTTTTGGTAAAGCACCACTGACTTAATAAACTTCATTTTTTTAAAGGATATTTTTCAAAATCGAGGAGGAAATTTTTCGAATAATAAATAAATTCAATCCTGAAAATATTTTTTCCAACATTAACTAAAAAGGCTTGCAATTTGAAAGAATTGAGTATTTTGAAAATATTACCTGACATTATTTTATAAAAAGTCCTTCAATAAAAAATAAAATTTTTTCAGTTTTGCGCAACCTTCTTCGTTTTGATGTCATGGAAAGTATCATTGAAAAAAATTAACAGATTTATAGTTTCAATGCTTATAATAAAGAAAATCAGCTTTTAGAAATGGATTTATGCATTTAATTCGTTTTTCAGAGAAGTTATGCCAAGTGCAACGTCTCCTTTAGGTGCCGAATTTGCAAGCAAATTTTTTATGGCAGCACTTTCCGTAAGTATATTTTATTTGTTTATTTATTTTTTAAATATTTTAAAAACAGATTTTGCAGATAGCTCGCTACTTCGGCATTTGAGAGATCTCAAAAAAGTATACCAAACAAAAAGACATGTTTTTTATTTTTTATTTTAAAAAAAACGTGAAATGGCAAGTTCATCTGCAGCAAAAATTAAAAATAAATAAATATAGAAAATCATATTGTTATTAATAATGTTTATTAATAAATGATTTGTAATAAAGTCATAATTCTGTAGAATGGTTTTTCATTGAAAGCGTTCGTAGATAAGTTACACTGCGAAACAATTTTTTATTTTTATTTTTTGTTACAAAAGATTTGTTTAACAAATCTGAGATGCTCTCGCATCGTTGATTTCAAACTTGCAATCGGTTTATCTCTTTTCTAGCTATAGTTACAGATTTTTTCTTAAAATGACATTTTTAGTCGATTTTCTGTCGAAATCTACAAGTTTAAAAACGTTATATATAGCAGGGTGTTGCATAAATATTGCGACAATTTTCTAGGAGAGTTAGGGCAAATCATTAGTAATGAAATTGCGTAGAAACCCGTGCCCGGAAATGTGGTCATATACCGCTAGTGACGCTTTCCTATTATGAACTGTTTTTATCGCGTGTTTCTGAATAGGTCATAATAGGGAAGAGTCCCTAGTCGCCTACGTTGACACAAGTTCCTGTGCATTTCAACAAAACAGGAGCTTGTGCCAACGTAGTCAACGAACTTGTGTCAACATTTCAGCAAAAAATTTATTCAATATGTCATTTAAAAAAAATTTAGCTTTAGGAGCAAAAATAATTTTGGACTTGAAATCCCCACAGCCTTTTATAAGGCAGAATAAAGTATTTGTATAAATGCAACAAAAAATTTGTTCTCTAGTGTAATTTATGTTGAGCTTTTTGAAAAAATATTAATAAGTGAAAGATTGTATTCCAACTTGTTGAAAAATTCACAAAACTTTCCCTTCTTATTTCTGAGACTCTCACGTGGATTCTTAGTGCCCTCTTGTTCTTAAAAAATCTGATGCCAAAAACCAGCATTAAATAATTTTTTTATCCATTTCACAACAAGCACAAATTGTAGCGGATCCTTAAAAAAACAATGTTGACTGTAAAAAACTGAAACTCTATAAATAGTTTTGTTAATCCGTTGTGCACCATTCAGTCGTGTAGTTTGACACTTTACAATTTCGTAAATAACGGCATGACTGTCCCCATTTGACGATTTGCGGCGTTGTTAGAAAATCACCTGATTTCAAAAGCCAGCATTAAATAATATTTTATTTTATCCATTTGGTCATTTTTTATCTTATCATTTTTTTATCCAACTAGCACAAAATTGTAGCGAATCCTTACAGGAACAATGCTGGGTTTGAAAAACTGAAATTGTGTAAATTGTTTTGTTAATCCGTCGAGGATCAGGCGGTCTTGGAGTTTGAAGCTCTACAATTTCGTGAACAATGGCATGACTGCCATCCGTTTGATGATTTGTGGCGTTGTTTTTAAAGTTAATAGTGATAATCTTTGCATAAATATGGTCATTAACTATTCTTTCACAGTGTTATTCAGAGATAGAAGTTCTTTATTAACTATTTGTATTTTAGAAACAGGCTTATGAGAAGGGAGAAGTGGACCCGTTTGCCAAAAGCATGTATTACCAGTCAGTTTTAAAAACATTTTACTACCAGGCGCTGTTGTCTGTTCCAGAAGTAATAATACTTTTATATTCTTTATTTTAATGACTATAACATTTAAGTCTCAGAATAAGAAAATTCTGCCATGCAATTGAAAAAAAAAAACAGCGTAAGTACTTCAAGATTGATTCAGAGAAGAAAGAGGCTTGACAACTTAAAAGAGGCTTGACATCAATTTTCTTTCGAGAAATGATGCTATAAATGCTTAATTAAAATTTCAGAAAACTGATGAAACAAAATTTAATCTTGATTTTCTTTTCTTTTCTTTTTGCAGTATGCAGCTTATTATACGAAGATGCCAAACATTCACCGAAAAGCCATTGCATTATGACCACCCTCCATCTATAACAATAGGCTCACCCAGGTTTTCATGGTTTCTTACCCAGGAACAATGTTTTCATGGGGCACATTAGGATCCATAATCCTCATAGAACAATCCCTGACGTCTGTAAGCTACTTGAACATAGTTGCAGACCAGGTTCACCCATTCATGGCAACAGTTTTTCCTGCGGAGGATGGTGTTTACCAACAGGATAATGCACCATGTCATAAGGGTCGAATCGTCATGGATTGGTTCGAGGAACATTCCAGTGACCTTCAAGTCATGTCTTGGTCCCCAAACTCCCCTGACCTTATTCCAATGGAGCATTTGTGGTCCTACTTGGAAAACCAAATTCGTGCTGCCACGCTACCCCCTCGTAATGTGAGGGAATTGCAGGACCAGTTGGTGAGCGCTTGCTACCAGATACCTCAGACTACCTATCAGCACCTTGTGGAATCAATGTCACGGCGGGTGCTAGCAATTTTAAGGGCTAAAGGTGGTTCTACATGTTATTAGCAGGGTGGTTATAATGTAATGGCTCTTCGGTGTATAAATATTCACAATTTCGAATTTTTTGTCACTTATGTTGATTTTTCTTTTACATGGCAGTTTTTTCCTTCTATTGCTAATGCTATAAACGCTGAAATAGAGTTTCAAAAAACTCATAAAGCAAAATGCACTTTTGAAATATTTTTTTTTGCGTTATGTAACTTACCATATAAAGATGCCAAATATATAAAAATCATTTCTGAAATTTTTGTCTTGTACCATCCTCAATTTTACTTAACTACGATTTTATTAGCTCAAATTAGTTTGAGAAAAATCTTTAAATAAATATTTTAAAAAATTTTTCTAGCTAGTTAGAACACTCAAATATCAACTGAGTATCATGCTTGGTAACTGGGAAAGTTTCAATTATTTTTATCTTCTAAGCAGAATTTATTGCTGTACTATAGCCAAAAAGAGTTCATGATCAATTCAAATTTTGACCAGTTAGAATAATTAAAACTGAAGTGAAACTAAGTGTCGAATGAGAATTGAAGTTTCATTCGTGATTGGAAAGCTGAAAATAGCATGCGTCGCCACACTATTGACAACTAGAGCTTATGATCAATTCAAATTTGGACAAGTTAGAGTGTTCAAAACTGAAATGAAACTGGGTGCGAGAGCAGAAAAGAAGTTTCAACCGTTTTTTGAACGCTAAAAGAGGAACATATTCTGCTTTTTTTTAAAATTATCAATTGGAATTTACGGCCAATCTAAGTTTGGCCTATTTGTGAGCCTTGGGCTCCAGTATGTCTAAGAAATCAACTCAAGCCCACAGGCCAGACTAGAAAAGTAAACCGCAACTGATTTTTTGTGCCTGATGTCAAGTTACACTTGTTTCATTAATGGGAAAAGCAATAGTTTATTGTCTTTTTACAGTCAGTTCATATTTTGACCTTGTTTTAATATGAACTATAATAATAATAATAAAACAAAAACTTTAAAATTTTTCAAGTTGACTAAAGACGAGAATTTTTTTTTTGGTAGATCTAAAATAAAAAATGTAGGGAGCATCACTTTCGTAATAAACAACCCGAAACACGAATGTACCGTATTTTCGACGTTTTTAAGAAGTGATGTGCTTCCCAATTTTCCGTTGTAAGATTGACAAAAAAAAACAAAATTATTTGTTTAGTCTATTTCAAAAACGAGGCTTTTTAAATTGTTTTTTCTTCTTAAATCCAGCTACATTATTTCCTTTATTTTTTTCTGTCATTTGGCTATACCAGAGAGTTGTGGAAATAATATTTAATGATTCTTAATTAATATTTATGAAAAAATCACAAAAGCTATAAAAGAGAAGAAAAAACATAAAAGCTATCGAAATTCGACAAATCTCTATCAAAGAGTATTAGAAATTTGAAGGTTATCTATTATTTTTCATTTTTTTTAAACTGCTGTTTGTTTCATAAGCTATCATGATTTAATACTTCGTATACTCGTCTTTTCAGATTGTGAATGGTGAGATTTCGATAGATTTTTACTTTTCCTCGCTAATTGAAAATGATTTAAATGTGGTTCCAGTGGTATGTTACATATATTTTATCTATTTCAGTTGATTTGTCGTCATGGTCATGATACATTGTTTTCAAAAGGATTCAGCATCAGCATATTTGGACGTCTTCTGGAAGAACCAGAAATTAACGAAGTTGCCAAAGAGAGAATGCCTGATTTACCCAAGGCAACTATTTGGAGTGACCTAAAATTTATAAAGGTAGCATTGAATGTATTAAAATTGTCGAAGATTTCTTTTATAAAGATGCAAATATTACAATCATATACCGCGCTGCCAACTTTCTACGTCTTTTGTAAAAATTTATTCCAGTGGTTGCTAAGTTAATGTTTTAATCTATTATTTTTCATTCATTAAAACTTGCTTTCCACACCACTACGTATAAATAATTTAAAAGTTCATATGTAGTCAAGTAGTAAGGTTTTTAAAATGTTAGTAAAATTACCAAAAATTCTGTAAGCTTTGGTTCTTAAATGTCTATCACTCTATAAAATATTTTGCAAAAAGCATAGTAATTGGCAAGCCTGCATATAAAGAGGTACAAATTAAATTTAAGAACTCAGCAATTTTCTCATTATTTTTTCATTTTTTTCACGTTTCAAAACGTGTTAAAACAGTTTTCAACATATATCATGAGGCTCTCAGTTAACATTATTCGCCCCAGACAGAATGTCTACTGTTGGAATCACTTTTAAAGCTCTTTTAATTACTGCTCCTTTTTCAAAAACTGATTCCGATTCACCAATATCGAGTTGATTGGAGTAATATTATCGTAGATATACAGTGGTTAGACAAATATATGGAGAAGCTTCCATATTATTTCTATGAAAACAATTTTTATTTTTATTAGCAGGAAGTGTTTTGGAAGGTTTCACGGGGCAAAACTAATGGCACAGTTTGAAAGATTATGCATCTAGCTTTTAGAAATGCTGTATTTTTTACCCATGCAAGATTCAGGTCAACCAAAATGAAGAGAGGAAGAAAACCTCTTTCTAGTTTAAATACCACTGTAATTTTTAAGACATTTCTAAGTAAATATCGCAATCCTGTAGCAGTATTTCAAATTTACTGGTATTAAAGCTAAAAATAAGTTATTTACGTCATCTCCTCATTTTGATCGATTGCAACCACGGGGCATTCTAGAGTCCTAGGAATGTAAAATCGTGAGCATATGTCCCAAATTCGAAAATCACCACAACAGGATACCCTATAGTCCTAAGAATGTTAAGTGCCGGATAAATATCCCAAATAAACTTCCAGAAATTACAACCACGGGAGATTTCAGAGTCCTAGGAATGCAAAGCCCCGAGCAAATGTCCTAAATTCGGATATCACCACTACGGGACACTCTAGAATTTTAAGAATGCGAAACTTTATTCTTGGACCACACCCTTAAGGCAACTCTATATGTAAGAGTTAGTATTTGCAAAATTTCTATTGTTGATTTTTTTTATAGAAATTTAATATTTTAGTTAAAATAAAAATAGATAGAATATTTCATTCTTTCAGGATTTATTTTTTTATAATTCGAACGCTGAAAATGTCAAAAAGATTCTTGACAGTTACGAGTTTCCTTACTTAAAATGCAAAACTGCGCAAGAAGCTTTTGATGTTCTAATGAAAGCAGCTACTGATTTGGAACAGGTAAATAATTAATACTTTTCTTGGTACTAATAGTTTTATACATTTAATTATTTTTATGAATAAAGTAAACGCCACCCAACAGCACGATGCTGGCCAGGCGTTAAGGCTCCACAATTTCGTGATCAACGGCATGATTATGTCATTGTGGTCAGCACTGCGCACAGGTTACCTTTACTTCCTAGACAAGCTGGTTCCCATATTTTTGAAGCTTCGTGTGCTTCAAGCTGTTACTGGATATCGAAACCCAGTTCTTCACAAAGCTCAGTTCTGTGCCTTAACCATTGAGTCATCATGGCTCTTTTTATGTATGTTTCATACATAAAATAGCCCTATATATCCTATTTACAGAGCAGCTTTAGTGAATACGATAAGTCGTCTCAAAGTAAAACTATAGTTTTTGCGAATGTGTATGAAATTTCTATCATTCGGAAGTTCAATAAAAAAGTGTTGTAATTACTGCTTAGTTTTGCGAAAAATGCGATTGGCAACAGCTGGTAGCCTCTGTTGCACACGTTTTTTCTCACTCCTTGAATATTTTGATTTTACCCATTGTTTTAAATCTAATTTCACTTATCTATACATAATTCGCGATCGCAACGAACTATAGGGGGCGTTGTTGTATGAGACTAATACCTGCGATTTCTATATGAACAGTCATTCAGTTATTCTAGAGACGTCGTTTATGTAGCACGTAGCATTGCAACGTTCCTTCTTTATTGTGGCTAATTAAATTTAAAAAAGAAAAATGCTTGATATTCTTTCTTATGCAAACGAAAACAAAATGGTATCTCTTTTTATTAGAGAAGGAATATCCAAAACACATCGGAAAAATATTTGTACATTAACAGAAAAAAATATGTATATTCTTATAAGAGTTAAAACCTAATGCCCGAGAAATAGTATTACTAAATTTAATGATATAACATGAAAGGCCCATTTAAACTTTACATTCTATAGTTTTAAGAATCATATTACTTCAAAAATTAAAATGAACAAAAAGTATACATAAGCCTCATAATTTTATGAAATTTAATTTTGTAAACAAAGTTTTTTGACAACAATTTTTATCAAAAAATTTCAAGTTTCAATAAAAATCATTATTTAGAAACTAAGAAACGTAAAATAAAGAATGCTGACGAAACAAAAAAAAAAAAAAAAAAAAACAATTCTTTTTTGTCGCCATTTTTAGTGCTACGAAAATTCGTCTTTGGGATTTGCCAAAAACAAAACAAGATGCAATTTTATTTTTTCAGGAGGGAAATATTTTACCGAAAAAACGAAAATGTACCAATTCCCACAACATAAAACTTTATCTTGGTAAACGTACGTTTTGGAAATGTTATTTCATTTGGAATCTTATTTATCAGAGTTCATATGGCGATATGATTGTTTTGAATCTATGCTAAACTCTATATCGGCTCATTTTCCACCGAAATCCGATTGACTATTTTGATTTTAAATAAAGTGTTTTATTTTATGAATTGTCGCAAAAATTTTAAGTGTAGATTGGCGGCACTTAAAAACCGCCAAATCTGTAGCGGCGGTGGCGTTAATACGTAAGTACCGAATTTTTATTCCATACTTTTCTGAATCATATTACTTCAAACATTGGAATATACAAGAAGTATACATAAACACATAATGTTATACCATTTAATTTTTCAAAAAAAGTATTTTGAGAACAATTTTTATCAAAAAATTATAAACTAAAAAACGGAAAATAAAGAATTCTTAGGATAAAAAAAACGATTTTAAGAATTCTTAACATTGAAATAAAAACTTTCATATTGTTTCTTTTTTTATTATTCTTATAGTTCTTAATCAGACGTAAAAAACCATTCTGTAGAGAACCATCATCAAATGAAAAAAAAATATTTACAAGCAAATTTTTTATTGTAAAAATCATTGCACTTACCTGATTTATGATTCCCGGAGAATTCCAAAATGATAAGTTCCTTGTTTGAAAACTTTATTCTCAAATAATAGATACATAGTTTATACCTTCATTACTTTTAGATAACATACTACACAGCAAAATTTTATAATTGATATGAATTTGAATATGTAGCTAAAAACAGAATAGCTGAATTCTAGTTGAACTTATTCTTTCAAAACTAAAAAATACTTACCAAGAAAACGATTAAAATTAATTAAGAATCAGCACAAATGGCACTATTTCAAGTAACTTGGATAATTTTTTATTGTTGTTTTCCGAATTATATGGATACAGAAATATATACTATTCTATAACGAAGAAGAATATGCTATAACTATTACAATTCTGTATGTTCTGAATTCATATTTATTCACTGGAATGACGAAAGCAATGTTGACTTCACTTTAATTCGTAATGAATTGAAGACAGAAGAAATGCATTTTACCTTAATACACACATCTGTAACAGTATCCGAAATCGGAAGTCATCAGTTGCAAGTTTGTTGATAATAGAAATTAAAAATTATTGAGGAATTTTTCTTCAAATGTTTGGCGTGTTCTGTTCCTGAAAGATTTACTAATATTCTGGAGATTTTTTTCAAGTTCTTCGGCCTTTTCCTTAGGGAAATTTTGTTTCTTATTTGCTGCTAAAAAATGGCGTCTGATTCAGTCAATGACTTTGATGGAACTAAATGAAAACGTGATAAATTAATGTCCGATATTTACAGGCTCCCGCTAGACGGCGTACTCGAGCGTTGCGATCGCGAATAATAAACGCGGCTGTGTGTGTGTCTGTAATCACAGTATATCGCCCCAGAAACCTCGCCCAAGCACGAAACTCGGCACATAATTGTGTTTTGACATAATGAAGAAGTATTTTTTTTCTTTTTCAAAAATTTGGTTTGGTTTTTTAGTTATCAGTCATTTTGTAAGAAAATCTATGCTTTTTCGTCTTCAAAGAGCCATATTCAAAAAACTATTAAAAAATGCATATACTTTTCTCCACTCTTATAAATGTATGCTAATGCGAACCTTACAATTGAAATATTAATTTTCGACAACTTAAACCAATAATATACGAAGGAAATAATAATTTAGTTGTAAGGTTCGCATTAGTTTAAGTGGATAAAAATTTAACTTTTGTATTAAAAATGTGGCAACATATTCGATACGTAAATAGAACGCTTCGCTTTGATATATTTGTCGCAGTTCATAATTCTTATAATAAGTTTTTCTTCTTCTTTCCACGCTCTATTTTTTTTCTGAAGCGAAGACGATAATTTTTGTAGCCATATAGAAATAGAAATTAATACCATAAGAAATTATATTGAAATAGAAATTGATACCATTAAAAATTAATTCGTTTTCGCGTTCTTTTCATGTATTTAGCATTTTAGTTTTTTTTTCTTAAGCGTTGTAGCTATATAATATATAAAATAGGAATTTAATTGTTTTTGAAGGAACGATCACACTTACCTTGGATCTCTTTGGTTTTTCTATTCTTTATTTTAACAGTTTTTATTAAATGTAATTAGTTATTTTCAGAAAGTTTCAGTTTGCAGGTAAGCACTTAGATTTTAATATTGAAGTTTCCTGATTTGCTTTCATAGTAATTGTTATTCTAAAGTATTCGCTGACTTCTTAAAAACCCGATTACTGACATGGCAGAACCGCCTTCCGAAAAATTTTTTATTTTGTCAAAGAAAAAGATATTAAGAGATTCTCAAAGAAGAAGAAGAAGGGCCCAAGAAACGTCTGTGGATCGTCAAGGAAGGATGGAACATGACCGAATTTCGACAAGCAAGTCTCCGACGCTGTCATGGAAATAGAGCAAGTTGTCAACTATCCGAAAGAATTTTTGAACTCATTGGAACCACCTAGAGTGGCTGCACATAAATTAGAATTGAAAATTGGAGCACTAATTATGCTTTTAAGAAATTTGGATCAACCTGCATTGTGTAATGGAACAAGATTGATTGTGAAAAAAATTGATGCCTAATGTTATTGAAGCTATGATTATAACAGGACATTCAACAGGAAATAGTGTGCTTATTCCTCGCATTCCCATCATATCTTCAGACATTCCGTTTCAGTTTAAACGACTTCAGTTTCCTGTTCGACTTAGTTTTGCGATGAGTATAAATAAATCTCAGAGACAATCTTTAAAAGTCGTTGGTCTTGACTTGCAGAGCCTTGCTTTTCACATGGACAGCTTTATGTTGACTGCTCAAGAGTAGGTGACGAAAAGAACTTATATTTATTGGCACCAAATGGAAAAACTAAAAATATTGTTTATAAGGAAGTTTTACAAGAATAGGAAGAATGATATACTATCTGTATGCTGACTGACACAAGTTTTATTTTATTGCTGTTTCTTAAATATGTTATTAACTGCGTTTTAATTTTCAGCTATTGGCCAATGATGATTTCGAAAGCAACTTTTGTATGCTTTTACAATTTCTGAGGCCTTTTTTTTAAAAAAAACAAACAAGTCTCCACCTGATAGTTATATTATAGGTTAGGTTATTATAGGCCTTAGGTTGCCATAGCAAAGTTACATCTTCAAACATCCTCAAGAGCTATAACACATCTGCAGCAGAACTGGATATGAAAACAAAATTGCAGGACAGGAACACTTTAATTGTCCACTAATCTTCAGATTTCCTGCTATGTTTTAAAAAACTTTATTTGTGAAAACCTTTAGCGTGGCGGAAAGCTGGCCGTCTTAGGCGTCTAGTAATTTATAAAAATTTGAAAATACCAATCTAATGTTTTAGCAAGCAAGCTTTCTATACATAAATATTGCTTCAAACAATGTCTTCGTCAAAAATTGTGTGTAAAGCATGTACAGAACCAATTCTGGAAGACTCGGATGGATTAACATGCAAAGGTGAATGCAATTCTGTTTTTCATTTTCATTGTGGTGGTTTCACTGAAAGAGCTTTTAGAAGACTTACTGTTGATAAAAAAACAAAAGTGGACCTGCGTACAATGTTCAAAACCACAGGAAAACCCAACGAAAATAAAAAGTGCAACTAGCCCAGACATTCTCGAGGATATATTAC